TGCTGGACAGTAAACCATTTCATCCAGTCGCCGCCCGGTACTGCCAGTTCACCTCCTGAGTACTGCCGAGGTGCCCTCCTTCTTGTGTCAGGAGTCCATCAAATATAAAATCATTTTAGTATCATCCTGTTTATACTGAAGGCTCTGATTACTGTCGATTACTGTGTTTCTTGCAGCTGCTAGTTTCCTTAAATTCAATATCTAAATACTCACATTTGTGAGGCGGACATGGAGTATATTGTACTTTCTACTGCCATCACCCAGAGAGGAAGCAGTAATGTTAACAAACGAGACCGACTGACCAACACACACTGCAGCAAATTAACTCTGCTCAGTCTGTTTCTCCTCAGAGGCTTCCCCATTATTTTGTTCCTCCCATACAGGCAGGAGACTGTAAGATGCTTTCAAATCAATTCATTGATGCAATTAAGTTTTTAAAGGCTGCAGAAAATTAACTATTCAATAAAACGTAGTACTATCATCCTATTCTGGTCGACGCATCCTCACTGTGACCTCATCACATGTCCACGTTTGGTCATGGACTTTCCACGTCCACATATGACGTCCAAGGTACCCTGGGTGTGTTGGTTGTTGACGTTCTGGGACGCCATGTCAACTTCAGCCTGTTACATGCATTGTCTATTTTCAAAATACACTTCTGTTTTCACAGGAAATGTACAGTTTGATACAGTCTCTTTCAAAATAAAAGCACTTTGTTGGTTCTACACAGGGAATTTACGATTTTTTCCTTCAACAACAAATGCCACACACACGTGGTTGGGATTTGGACAAAACAACAGGTTTTGGCTTTACAATCAAACAAGAAGTGAACACTGGCCTCTCGGGTGAAAGTCAATGGTTGCTGGTTGATCGACCACCCCTCCCATCTTCCTTACTCAGACTTTTGTCACCTTAACTTTCGTTGTTGTTTCCCCCTGACGCCAACAGATGCTGTTAAACAATAACGTGACCGCCTGCGTATCATGCCAACATGAAAGGACGGCTTTTTTCCTGTGTCCGACACAGGACGTCACTGACCAAGCGTCGGTTTTCGACGACTTTGTAGCAAGACTGTGTTCTTCCAGTTAAATATCACGGTATACAATCATCCGACTGGTCTGACTGGTTTCAAAGCTCAGGTAAGTACTTTGGCTGTAAGGTTGAAGGCTAAAGGGAACTGGACATGAGCTAAACTGCATGCAGGTACAATAATCTGTAAACTATGTTTAAAAGAAGCAAGTAGTCCCACAGTGAGAAAAATAAATCATGTACAGAAATAAAACATTTTGATTATTTGACACCAGTAATCGTTTAATCATCAAATCGTAACCGAATCAAATCATGAGCTGAATTCCTACCTCGAATGGCAAGTATGAGAAAAACTGACATTATATTTACACTGGCGGATATTTTCTTTGAGTGGAGCGAGGACCAGTCCCCGAGCATCTTACATTAACTGAGTTTTGTATTATGGGTTGTTTGTAGATTTAATATTGTGACGACTTTCTTTAAGTCCATTTACAAACAAACATTTTCCTTATATATTTTTTAAGCCAGTCCTTTTTAAAGTTTTTTTATTTGCCAACTTTAACCTACAGGAGTTCTGCTGCAGAAATAAATTTCTAACGAGGGAAAATTAATTTACGGTGTCTCCCGACATTTTTACTGCCGAAACAAACCAGAGACCGAATCATCTGTCAAGCTGCCAAAAACTGCCAAAGTCACAGAATGTCACGATGAGGAGCTCAACGAGAGACAGTCTGTTAAATACTGACAGCCAAAGGAAATCATTCTGATGTCCAGACGTCTGACGGCAGAGTGTTCGAGCACTTCAAAAACAAATTTAAGCAAGCTATAAACACGTAGGATTTGTGTTTTCTGAAAAGGCTTCAAAGACGATCTCTGAGCTAACAGAAGTTCAACAGTACGACTGGTTGTGTCTTTTCTTCAAATACTTGTTTTACAAAAAACTGGTGCAGGAGAAAGGTGGGTCAGAGCACTTCTATTCCCTGAGCTGTTTTCTTAAAATTAGCATGACTCTTCTTTGGAGACAATCTTGTGGAGTCCTTTAAACCGTCTGAACGTAAACGCATAAAACAAGAAAACACGCTCTGCCATTCCCAGACTTTCCCTGCCTGGAACACACACCCCAAAACATCCCATGATTTCCCTGAAATTCCAGGACTGTCTGGAACCCTGCTGGCTATAAATAGAGCTGGTGTGTCCTCCCAGCATCCTTTGCTGCAGCTGGGAATGAAGCGTAGCAGAGATGAGACGATGGAGAAGAAGCATTAGTGACAAGTCATTTCATGGCCTCTGAGTCTTTGTCTTGGTGATAAACACACATCAGAGCTGCTGTAAATCTTTTTGTTGGGGACGAACAGGAGCCGCCCCCCCCCGCCCCGTCACCACCCCCCCACCCTGTTACATAGAGCCTCACTAAATCTGCCCTTGTCCTTCTCGGCAGGTTCAACCCCCTCCTCCTCCTCCATTTTCCTGCCGTCAGGATTTTCTTTGTCGGCATTCATCTCCTGTGTTGCCATGGCGCTGCTGAGGACAGCGAGCGAGAGGCGGAGAAAGACATGAAAAAATGAAAGGAATAATAATAAAAAAAAGGAGTGTACAGTACGTCCTCCCAGCCTTCAGTGTCTTTGTGGGATGTGAGGATCCATTCATTGTGTTATCGCGGCGGAGGTGTTGGAGATAGCTGCCTGCTGACGTCAGGCCGGGGACGGGCGCCCGCCGCACATCAAACGTGGAGGAAACAATGAAGAGCAGGATGTGGAGATTTCTCCACCGTGAGCAGAAACCTCACCGACTGCAGCCAAGTGACAGTGTGGAGGTGGAGGTGGAGGTGGAGGTCCTGCGCAGCTGCTCTCTGCTTAGTCTGATGTGAAGAACGACAGCCAGTGGAGGAACGTAACTAAAAGCACATTTACTCAAGTACTATCTTTAAAACTCCTTCTGTTACCTCAGAATGAGCTGTTTATGTCTACATACGGAGCAGGTCCTCATCTATGAGTTCACACTGTTGCACAGCCGTGTTTCTACAGTAGCCCAGAACGGACAAACCAAACACTGACTCTAGATAGGACCATTCATGTTTTTGGGTCATGAACACTGAAGGAAATCTAACCTGAAGTTTCAGCTGGTTGCATCCTGCAATCTTCACCTCTAAATAGGGCTGCGTATCGCCACCGATTTCCTGATTCGATTCAAATCAATCTGTTGTCCCTAATACAGCCAATAACAAAAGGGCACAAGTATGAAATAACAATGAAATGTATAGACCCTTTAAGAGCCGACGTCTTAAAATGTGTTTGTCTTGTTGTGTTATTGGGAGCCAGAATAGAAGGAGTCATGGCTCAAAACCAGCCGCCACTGCCCGTCAACAAAAACAAAGACAACTATGGTTAAATGTGATAAGACCAAAGGACTGGACGGAGGCCATCATCAAAAATGCTCACATGTGCAGCGCACACTTCATATCAGGTTAGGGAAAAAGTATTTCCTGTTGTAGGGATGAATAAGGTTATGTGTATTAAGGGTTATCATGTCCACCTCATCAGAAACTGGGGAGGGATTAAGAGGAAGATTGGATTTCTCTGCAACGCTAACTTTTTAGCACATTAGCTAACGTTAGCTTCCATAGCAAAACAAACAAGTGTGGTCCTCCTTTGTAAGATTGGCTTCCTGTGACATCATCCATCCACTGAGTGAGAGCATACGGGTCGGCCAGTCTGGTCCCGTTGGTCAGTGTTTACTTATTCAAGTAACACTGGCGGTCCCGGAGAGTGAGTGACCTGACATGGTGCGTTGGTAAATTCAGTCTGACGCTCTACACTAAAATGAGAGCCCTGTTGGTGGAAGAAACGCAGCGTTATATTTCTACATGAATGAACCAACGTTTAAGTTAATCACACATTCACTCCGCTCGGCGCTCTGCTGCTCCGTCTCCACAGACAGAGTGTCCAGAGTGCGCTCTGCCACTCTGAGAGTGCGCTGCTCTGGATAACCCAACGCTACATTCAGACAGCGCTCCCAATTTATCAACGCTCCAGTTTGTGTCAGAGTGCGCTCTGCCACTCTGAGAGTTGAGCCCCCTGTGGTGCCTTTCGGCGTCACCCCAGCCTGGTGTCGGTGTCACGACACTACATTGTCTGCCACTTCAACACCAGCTCGACGTTGTGCGCCTCCTCAAACAAGTCAGGTTTCTCTTCTAGTTTCCATCTCTGTCTGTCCATATGGAGCCATGACAATTGACAATGCCTCAAAATTTGCATTCAAACGAATGAGACAGATGCAAGGCCATAGTGACATTGACCTTTGACCACCAAATTCTATTCGATTACTCATAAGTCCAAATGGACGCTGATGCCAAATTTTGAAGGAATTCCCTCAGGGTGAAATATCGTGTTTACAAGAAAGAGGCAAAACAAGACAGTGACCTTGACCTTTGACCGCCTTAATCTAATCACTTCATTGTTGAGTCCAAGTGGACGTTTGTGCCAAATTTTAGGGATTGAGATCAGTACATTGTTCAGTTCATTGTCAAAACCTGACGTTTGTGCCAAATTTAAGAAAAGTCCTTTAAGGCCTTTTTGAGATATTGCATTTACCAGAATGTGACAAACCCAGTCACAGTGACCTTGGCCTTTGACCAAGAAAATATAATCAGTTCATTGTTATGAACTAAGTGGACGTTCGTGCCAAATATTAAGTAATTCCCTCAAGGTGTTCTTGAGATATCATATTCAAGAGAATGAGACAGACCATGTTACAGTGACCTTGACCTTTGACCCCCAAAATCTAATCAAGTCATTGTTGAATCCAAGTGGACGTTTGTGCCAAATTGAAGGAATTCCTTCAAGGCATATGTGGTGTTTATGAGAATGGGACAGACGGACAGATACCAATATGATTTTTTTCAGTACTACAATGACACTTAAATTTGTGGTACCATGACAACATCCCAGCGTGGGTGGGGAGGGGGGTTTTACCTGGATTGGGGGGTAGGGGTTGGAGGAGCAGGAGGGGAGGGGGCTGTCCTCGCCGTGGGTATAGAGGGTGGAGGACGAAGGGGAGGGGAGCTCCGGGAGGTGCTGCTGTCCTAACGCTGAGGAGCCGTCAAAGATGCACTCCAGAGATGCTACCTACAAGAATACAAGGAGGAGGAGGAGGAAAGACGGAGTCTCGCGAAGGTCAAAATACAGAAAAGGCAAAGCAGGAGAGAGACAGTTCATCCTTACAGAGGTCAGACAGAGAGGAGACAGAGTCAGAATGAGTGAGAGGACGGACAGAAATGTTTTACACACACGTCCAGAAACAGGTTCGGCTTCTTATAGAGCGAGTCTGCGTTTACACTGAAGAGTAAAGTAACACAAGCTGCAACCATTAGTCGACTAATTGATCCACACAAAATTCACTGGCAATTACTCTGATCATAGAATAATCCTGAAAGTATTTTTTAATTAAAAAGAAATCCAAACATTTACTGGTTTCCTGCGTCTTTAGTCTGAGAGTCTGCTGAGTTTTTGTGTCACACATGATCATTAACTAAACAACTTTGATTTTCTTCTCTAGTTTGATTTAATTAATTGGTAGGAAGATTATATGACAGGGAGAAGAGGAGGAGGAAGGAGAAGGCGACAAGAAGACAAAGAAGAAGACAAAGATGAGGATGATGAAGAAGAAGACAACATAGGAGAGGATGAAGAAGACGATGAGACAAAAAGACAAAGAGGAAGGTGATGAAGAAGAAAGAAGAGGATGTCAAAAGAAAATGACAAAGATGATTAAGAAGAAGGTGAAGAAAAGGAAGACAGAAAAAGACAAAGTACAAGTAGACAACGAAGACAAAGAGAAGGAAGAAGACAAAGAACAAGAAGACAACTAAGAAAAGAAGCCAAAGACGAAGGAGACAGAAAACAAGAACCAAAATGATTAAAAAAAAGACAGAAGACAAAGACATACGAAAAAGACAAAGATGATTAAGAAGACAACATAGGAGAGGACAAAAACAGAAGAAGACGAAAAACAAGTAGGAGACGATGAGACAAAGAAGACAGACAAGAGGATGAAGAAGAAAAAGACAAAGATGATAAAGAGGAAGGTGAAGCAGAGGAAGACAGAAGACAAGGGAAAGGATGAAGGAAGAAGAAAGAGACAAAGATGATTAAGAAGACAACATAGGAGAGGACGACAACAGAAGAAGAAAAACAAGTAGGAGACGATGAGACAAAGAAGACGACAGACAAGAAGATGAAGAAGAAAAAGACAAAGATGATTAAGAGACAAAGACAAGGGAAAGGATGAAGACAGATGATTAAGAAGAAGACAGAAGAAGACAAAGATGAAGATGATTAAGAAGACAACACAGGAGAGGACGAAAACAGAAGACAATGAGACAAAGAATAAGAAAGAAGAGAAAGACATTAAAAAAGACAAAGATGATTAAGAAGAAGGAGAAGCAGAGGAAGACAAAGAAGACAAAGACGAAGAAGACAAAAAACAAAAATGAAGATCAAGAGGAAGACAGAAGAAGACAAAGACAAGGCTAATGAAGAAGAAGAAGAAGAAGAAGACCGACAAAGAAGAAGAAGACAAAGATGAGGATGACGAAGACAAAGACAAAGGAGAAAAAGATGAAGACGACTGGCAAAAACAAGAAGGACGACAAGCGGAGCTGCCTGGACCCATAAAAGGAGCCTAACAGAGTGTTTGACGACCAAAGTTCTGTCGGCCATGTTTACCTTCACCTGTTACCATGACAACCAGCCAAGCCAAATCAGGCTTCAATAAGTATTAACAAGAAGGTGAAACTAATTAATTATCTAATTAATGAAGGGACAGAAATTGAGAGGAAAAAGTCAGCAACACAGTGTCGAAGAGAGAGAAAGAGAAGAGTCAGAGGACGGAGAGGACGGAGAGGACGGAGAGGACGTGACGGAGTTGGACCTTTATGGGATGTAACACAGACAGACTAGCTGATAGCTAACGGCGCTATCAGAGTCCTGAGGAGCTACTGAGGCTGCTACTGGACGGCTGGTCCCTCTGACCCCTCCCACTGATTGACACTTGGACAGGTGGAGTGAAGGAACTGGGGAGCAGACTGGAAACCAGTTCGACAAACTGGCTGCTGCTGACTGGTGTGTTGAACCAGATCCAACCTCAAGGTGTCAGCTGACTCAATGTTTTAGTTCTTTTGATTTTTAGATATAAAGAAATGTGAGACGTCACACGTGACATAAGAAGGTCGAGCTGTCACAGCAACGTTTATTTATAGCTGAGTATATTTTTGTTGAGTATAGAGGTTAACTTTGGGTTTTAATTAGTGTTAAATGAGCTTTAAAACTTCTGATTAGAAATAAAAATGGATAAAACATTAATACTGATCAAATCACTCCAGCTCTGAGGTCTTTACACTGACTTCCTGTCCGACAGAGAATCCATTTTAAAATACTCCTGTTGGTTTATAAAGCACTGAATACATGTCTGAAGCTGCTTCGTGTCCTCAGAGTCAAACATGGAGAAGCAGCGTTTCGTTTTTATACTTCAAGTATCCGAACAAACTGTACGTCTGAACCAACTCTCACTTCTTTTAAATTAAAGGGATAGTGCACCCACAAATGTAAATTCAGCCATTATCTACTCACCCATATGCCGAGGGAGGCTCAGGTGAAGTTTTAGAGTCCTCACATCACTTGCAGAGATCCAAGGGGAGAGGAGGTAGCAACACAACTCCACCTAATGGAGGCTGACGGCGCCCCAGATTCAAACGTCCAAAAACACATAATTGAAACCACAAAATATCTCCATACTGCTCGTCCGTAGTGATCCAAGTGTCCTGAAGCCCCGACATAAAAAGTTGCTACCTCCTCTCCCCTTGGATCCCCGCAAGTGTTGTGAGGACTCTAAAACCATCGGCGTATGGGTGAGTAGATAATGGGTGAATTTTAATTTTTGGGTGCACTATCCCTTTAAGGCCGATAATGTTTCTGTTTGCCACTGCCTTTTATCAAATCAAATATTTATTCATTTCTCACACTGCACTGAAACTTGGAGTCTTCTACTTTATACTGAGTCGTGTTTTTATTTTCTATTCTTTAGCTTTTTAATTAAGTTAGTAAATGTATTTAAATGTCCTTTAATAACGTGTTTCTTTTGCACCTTGTCTACATCCATCCATCCATTTTCTAACCACTTATCCTCTTGAGGGTTGCAGGGGGTGGAGCCTATCCCAGCTGACACTGGGAGAGAGGCAGGGTTCACCCTGGACAGGTCACCAGACTATCACAGGGCTGACCAATTAACCTGCATGTCTTTGGACTGTGGGAGGAAGCTGGAGTACCTGGAGGAAACCCACGCTGACACGGGGAGAACATGCAGACTCCGCACAGAACGGGATCGAACCAGGAACCCTCTTGCTGTGAGGCAACAATGCTCACCACCACACCACCGTGCTGCCCGCACCTTGTCTCGATGCTTCTAAAGTTTTACATAAATCATTTGGAATTTTTGCTGGAAAGTGCGACAAAAACAAACTTCCTTTGCTGAAAGATGTTTTTTAAATTTTTGGTAATTTACTATGTCTACATACTTTCAGCACCGAAACCATTTAAATGTCAAAACTTTCTGCATTTCCTTTCATTTCAGCATTCGGCACTGACATGTATTTTCCACAGGAAATGCATTTTCTAGTTACGTTTTTAATTGGCTAAAGATTTTTAAGACACAGTGACACAAAAAAAAGTTCTACTCCTGTCTCTGTGACAGAAGGTTCTGTTAGGATTAGGGATGCACAATAATATCGACCAGAATGGACCAACATGCTTTTTCTTTTTTTGTACAATGTATGAATATTACATATGTTGAAAAACATTATATTTCATGTCTCCATCTGCTGGAGGGCCGTCACGCTAAGAGCATACATGTATAATATGATGTTAATTACTCTACAGATTTTGTTGTTGTTTTACATCGGCATATCGGATATTGACAAAAAAATCCAATATCTTGTATCCCTAATTAAGATTATGATCGACTTTATCCTGTTAAATATGAGTCGAAATGACTCACTAAACTCGCCCATCCTAGTTTGTCTACAGGAAATCACACATTTAAATTTAATCTTTTTTAAGACCTTTTCAAGAACTGATTTTCTTACGTTCAAGCATCACAGATATAAAAGTGAGTAGTTTATATTTGGTCCTTTGCAGAGGAAGGTTTTATATGTGAGTTAGATTCATCTACATTTCGTCCACAGGTCAGTGAAGTATAAAGCGAAACGACAGTATGAAGTTCGGAAAAATTTGCACACTGCTCTCACTCAGCTTCATACCTTGTAAATGGAGAAATTAATAAATTCTGTTCAAAGACTGAGGTGCATCTGCAAATATCTTTCTTCAGTAAAAAAATGATAAATAAAATATGATGAAAATGTTTTTGGGAATTATGACCTCACAGATTCAAATTAAAGACCATTTAATGACTTTTATACTTGATATTTATTTTTAAAAATGAATTTATGCTGTTGTCAGACTGATTAAGAATCAGACACGCTCGTCTGCTCGTCACATGAAATTGACCTTGTGACCTTGTCAGCTGAGCAACATGTTCGAAACTGTTTGTTTTCTTTTCCTCCTTGAACATTTAGGTATTTACTTTACGATTGTGTCTTCACTAAAACTGATCAGACAAATATTAATAATAAAATGTATGACTTCACAGAATACTTCTGTATGTTTTGCTCATTCCTGCACAAGCTGTTCATTTTAAAACAGATATAATGTACTTTTTACATTTTGTTCATATTTCTATTTGACATTTTTCTACTCTATATTCAGGTTTGTCTTCTAGTTGTATTCATTTTTATTTTATCTTACTATATTTATAGTTTTTTTGCACTAAAACACGACGGAAAATTCCCTGAATGTGAAAACCTACTTTGCAATAAACCTGATTCTGATCTTTTCACTGCTGAAGCACTTTAATATTTGTTTTTCAGTCTTACAGAAATATAATATATATAGTCATCAGGTCTGAATTCAGCCGTAAAACATTGATAGCAATGAATAGATTGTAGATTATTTTAATATGAACTGAACAGTAAACCCAGAAGCTGTGAGTCCTCTCTCAGACGTCAGTCCGTCCG